ATTGGAAGAATTAGTATAACCAAAATGGCAATTCTACCCAAATTAATCTACATATTTAACATGATCCCAATCAAATTACCAGAGGTATACTTCACAAATTTAGAAAATACACTTATAGAATTAGTCTGGAATCATAAAAGACCCCATATTGCCAGAGCAATCTGATACAAGAAGAACAAAGTAATAGACATCTCACTCCCTGACCACAAAATATAAAGCTGTGATAATCAAAACAACATGGTGTTAGCATAAAAGCAGACATGTGGGCCAACAGAACAGACTAGAGACCCCAGAATAAATCTCAAAACATACAGTCAACTGATCTGTGACAAAGGGTACAGTCAATCCAATGGGAAAAGGAAAACCTCTTTAGCAAATGTTACTGGAAAATCTGGATATCCACCTACAGGAAGATGAACCTGGACCACTATCTCTCACCACTAGCAAAAATAGACTCAAAGTGGATCAAAGATCTGAACCTATGACTTTAAACTATAAAATTACAGTTGGAAAATACTGGGAAATTCTAGAAGAAATTGGAGTAGGCAAAGACGTCTTAAATAAGACCCCCAAAACACAGATAGTAATCTCAAAAATAGAAGGGATTACATCAGATTAAAACGTTTCTGCTCAGCAAAAGACACAGTAATTAATGTGAATTGACAATCCTTGAAATGGGAGACTATTTCTGTAAACTATACCTCCGATAAGGGACTGATAACCAGAATACACAGGGAACTTAAGCAGCTTACCTGGAGAAAAAATTATTAACCTAAAAGATGGAAAATAAGCTGAGCTAAAAACTCTCTAAAGATGACATGACAACAGCCAAAAAGCATATGAAAAAAAATGCTCAACATCCCTTTTCATAAGGAAGATAGGGATCAAAACCACAATGAGATGCCACCTAACCCCAGTCAAAATGGCTAAGATTAAAAAGACAGAAAATAAGTGTTGACAAGGCTGTGGTGAAAGGGTAACTCTCCTACCCTGTTACTGGGAGTGCAAATTGGCTCAGCCACTATGGAGAACTATATGGAGATTCCTCAGATATCTACAAGTAGAACTACCATGTGATTCAGCAATTTCGCTCCTGGGTATCTACCCAAAGGGAAGGAGAATGCTCAGTCTGAAAAGTGCTTGCACACCTGTGTTTATTGCAGCATTATTTACAATTGCTAAGATATGGAGCCAACTGAAATGCCCATGAATTGGGTGAATGGATTGAAAAAATGTGGCACATATACTACTCAGCCATTAAAAAAAAAAAAGAAGATTCTGGCATTTGATAAAAAGTGAGTGAATATTGGGCTGGCAGGTGGCAAGGTGGTTAAGAGTGCTGGACTCCCACATGGCCAACTGTGATTCAAGTATTGGACCTGACGACTTGCTTTCTCACTTTCTCACTCACTCACTCACTCACTCACTCACTCACTCACTCTGTCCATCTCTGATCAAATAAATAAATAAATAAGTAAAGTTAAATAAAAGTAATTCTCAAAAAAAAAAAAAGAATATGGAAGATTTACTGCTGAATGAAGCAAGCCAAGCTATGAAGGAGAGACATTGTATGTCTTCACTTAACATATACTGACTGTCTATACTCTATGGTGGAAAATGAAAGATTAGATGATATAGAAGCATGGAAAATAGTTGGAAATACTGAAGACACTGTGGGAAAAGGATAGGAGAAGGAGGAGTGTGTGAGGAAAGAAATTAAGGAGAAAAATAGCAAAGGAATTTATGAGACATAGATATAGATTATTATCTGTTAATGATAATGTGTATTGTATCCTCAACTGGACTGGTGTGATGTATATTTATGTTGGTTAAATTCACTTTACAAGCTAAGTGATGCATAGGGATTGAATCCAAGGAAAATAAAGCATTAACAAACAAAAGGAAAAAATAGCAATTTAGAAAAGAGAAAAATGATAAGGTTGACAAATCCAACAGATGTTTCTTTGAAGAAAAACCTTTGCCTTTCTAATCACAGAAAGGTAAGAACATAATTATGATATGAAGACCAAGAGAAGGAAAAAGAGAGAAGTATTTACTCACATGTAAAAATGAAATGATTGTGAGAATCTGCAATAGGAAGTTTATTTGTAAAGAAAATAGATGTCAAAATGAGACTAATTAAAAACAGAACTAGTGAACAGATTTCTAACCATATAAAGAGCTAAAAGCATTATTAAAGAATTGCTTGTGGGGCTACATGGTGGCATGGTGGTTAAAGCAGCTGAATTCCACATGGCCGACTTTGCAGTTTGAGTCCCAACCTCGCAAGCTTGACAAACACACCAAGCATGTGTGCATGCATGCTCAAAATCCCAAGAGAAGAATGGAAGAGGAAGTGATTGTAGCACGGCAATCCCCCTGGGGAGGTGCTTTCTTTCCCTCTCTTTTTCACTGTCTCTCTCTGGTGAGCCCACACATCCTATAGCAAATTAAAAACAAACCAAACAAGAATTACTTGTGTATAAAGAAGTTTCTGTATTTGTCTTAAATAATAAAGAATTTCTGTGTTGAAAGCTTCCTAATTAATTGACATGATCTTAACCGGATTACTTCACCCGACAAAAGTAGCACAGATAGGCTGGTGCCTCGGTAATTTCATATAATACTTTTGTATGGCAGTGCTTAGATTGAGACGTATCACATGAGGTCAGGTGTCAGATTTTCTGCTTGTGGCACCATATCTGTGCTCAGAAAATTCCAGTTTCGGGAGCATTTCAGAGTTTGGATTAAGAATGCCCAACCTGTACTATTATCGACAATATAGAACTGGAGTAAAGGGGCCAGCAGGTGGCCTGGTTGGGGTATTGGACTTCCACATGATCGACTGTGGTTTGAGTCCTGGACCTGGCAGCTTACTTTCTTACTTTCTCTCTCTTTGTTTCTGTCTGTCTTTCTCTGGTGACCATAGCAAGTTAAACAATAATAATAATGATAAATAATTTTTAAAAACTGGAGTAAAAAGTAGATTATCCAAATACATACTAAAAAGGCATAACACTTCAAAATCAAAAGTCGTAGTGAATTAGGAATAGATCACTTACACAGTGTGATAAAAAAATAAAAACATCAGGCCAACCTGCGGTTTGGCGGTTAAGGAAATGGATCCCACATGGCCAACTGCATGATTCAGGTCCTGGACTTGGGCTTGAGAAATATGCCAAGCATGTGTGCATGGGGACCCAGGATCCCGCAAGGAGGGCGAGCTGCAGGGAATGGATCACAGGATGACTGTTCTGTGTGGGGTGCTTTCTCTTTCTCTTTCTCTGTGCTATCTCTGGCACACGTGACCTATGGCAAATTAAAAAAAAAATGTATATCAACATCAAATTCAATGGTGAAATATTGAAAGTGTCCCTGTTAGAAATGAGTGCACATGAAGAGATCTTCAATATCATTAGACAGTAGGGAAATGCAAAGAAAAACCAGTGAGATACCATCTCACCCCATGGCGATCTTCAGAAATAGAGGTTGTAAGTATTACTGAGAATGTGGACATATTGGAACCCTTGTTGCTGTGGTGGAAATGCAAAAGGGAACAGCCGCTTTGGAGAACAGTCTAGGAGGTCCTCAGATTAAACCAAGAATTGCCATATGACCCAGCAAGTCACTTCTTACCTATCTAGCCGCAACACCCAACAGAGGGGGAAAACGGATATGCACACAAGAATGTGTGCACGGATGTTTATAGCAGCCTTATTCATAACAAACAAAAGGCAGAAACAGTCCAAATGTCCATCAACGGATGAATGAATAGTTAAAATGTGATATATCCAAAAATGGATATATTGGACAAAAATGGATTGTATTGGACAATAAAACAAATGAAGTTAAATACGGATATATTCTACAAGTGGATGGGGGTGGACTGAAACATGGACATAGAAGAGGTGCTGAGTGAGAGCTGCAGGGGTTGGGGGGAACTGGGTGTGACCAAAGATGAGAACAGCTTTTCTTTTGGGGATGGTGAAACCGTTTTAAAAGGGACTGTAGTAAGGGTTGCACAGTGTGATCTGCTCAATGCTACAAATTAGGAAAAACACGAACTGTACATTATAAAGGAGTGAATTGTATGGCATCTGAATTATATGTCAGTAAAGTTATTCATTTACCATAGGGCGGGCACCACCATGCCCAGTAAAGTTACTGATTTAAAAACAGGGCCTAGGGACCGGCAGAGGGCATAATGGTTACGTTGCTGGACTCCCACCTAGTTGACTGCTGTTTGAGTCCTGGACCCGATGGCTTAAACTCATGCTGAGTGTGTATGCGTGCCTGAAATCCCAAGGAGAGAATGGAGGAGAAGGGATTGCTGCCTGGTCACCCCCTAGGGGATGATCTCTTGCTTTCTGTCTCTGTCTCTCTGGTGAGCACACACACCCTATAACAAAAATCTCAGTTAAAAAAAAAAAAGAGGGCTCTCAGATGGCGTAGTGGTTAAGGCCCTGGGCTCCCTCCCACATAGCTAGTTTGAGTACCAGACCTGGGAGCTTAAAAATCATGCCGGGTGCATGTGCATGCATGCCCAAAATCCCATGAGGAGAATGGAAGAAAAGGAGTTGTGGTTGGGAGCTGATTTCTCACTGTCCTTCTCACTGTCTGTCTGTCTATGGCAAGTGCATGTACCCTATGGCAAAAATCTAACAAACAAACCAAGTCAAAATTCACTCAAGGATCATTGCTATTACCATGTTGTTTACTGTTACTCTGAAAGTTATGGGTAATTTCATTAAACAAGGAGAGAAAAGAGAGATAAATACCGGAAAGGAAGGAACAAATTATTGCAGAAAATATTCCTGTCTACTCAACACTTCATTGAAAAAAATGACTAAACCATTAATGCAGTCAGAGCACATATTGATTTTTGTTATTGGAATAATTCTTAAAATGATGTTTTGGAGTAAGCAGGAGATTACCTGTTATTATTTGCTTTCTGATACTTCTTTTGCTCTGTTCTCTTTCCATCAAACTGATTTCTCTAGGTTGAAAATGTCCGCTTGGTAGATCGAGTCTCTTCCAAAAAAGCAGCCCTGGGTACTTTGTATCTGACGGCCACACATGTCATATTTGTAGAAAATACACCTGACACAAGGAAAGAAACGTGGGTATGTTTTCCTTCTTCTTGGCTTTATATGCTTTCCTTTGTTCAAAGTAAAATGTTTTGACCATTCTTTTTTTAATTAGATCCCCCCCCTTTTTTTTTAACTTGTTCTCAAGGTGAGGTAGATGGGATTTTGGCGTTGGAGAGCAGAGAACTGCTTCTGGAATGTGTGTTTTGCTTTTTTCTGCTCAGAGTCATATATACTTGATCTGTTTATTCATTTTAAACACAAACGATTTGAACAGCATAAAAAAATAGGCCTAGAAATAGCCAGAGACACAAGTGTTTCATGTCACAGCTGTCAAGTAGAATTTCAGTAATGTCTGCATTGCCAGAAACAGCATTTTCACCATTCTTTATTGGCCATAGATTACTGTTTAGTAGGATTCTATAATGCAACCACTTCGTCATTTTTTAAATGTTCCCTCTACTTTTCTGATGGTTTAAAAAAGTAAAAAGAATAGCTAGAGAAGATATTTCTGTTACCTAATAATGAGACCACTCGATAGTTTTTATTGTATACAGCAACCCAGCTATGACATCACAACGGGAACCAGAATCCCTAAATCTGACTGTGCCCCGTGTATGTTTTATGAGCAGTGTTGTATTATCAGCAGAACGTGGTAGGCACCTCTTCATGGGGAGGAGCTTTAAAGAGTGAAGTCTGCCATGAGAACTGAGCAAGGATCCTCCTAAAGTGCCAGAGAAGTGCCTCCACATGGTTGCCTTGAAAGTAAATGTCTTCCTTAGAGAGGAGGTCGATGGTTACCAGAGGCAGAGGGGAGGAATAGGGGGCTGTTGACCAAGGGGTACAAAGTTTCAGGTAGATAGGAGAAGTTAATTTGGAAACCTATTGCATTAGGATGACTAGAATCGATAATATTGTATTCGACTCTTGAAAGTGAGAGGATAAAGTTTAAATGTCTCACCATTAAAGAAAAGCTAGGTAAGCAAGCTAAAAATATGTGCTCATTACTTTGATTTAATCATTCTGCATTGTATACGTACCTCAAACATCATCTCGTACCCTTCAGTGTGTGTCAGTAATTTCTCAGTTAAAAATAACATTAATAAAAAAGTCTTTTAATAAATGTTTTTTTCTTCTCCAGCCTGCTTGACCACCAATGGCTTAGAAAACAGCAATCCCAAGTTATTACTGAACTTGAGCAATCCATGTGGATTTAAGGAGCATGGAGGCACCTCCCAGTGGAGCCACGTCTAACATTTGCTGATTGCAAAAGTTTATTTTACTAACTTCTCATGACCTTATTTAATTTTAGCTATGAAGCACATCCAACATGTGACTGTCAAAATGTTCCTTTACCTGGACTTGTGCAAATTTATATGCTGAATAGTTGGCTGTAAAGTAATTATTTTGGGGGCCAGCAGGTGGCGTGGTGGTGGGGACTCTGGATTCCCACATGACTGACTGTGGTTCAAGTCCTGGACCTGACGGCTTGAAAATCACAAGAAAGAAATGGCTAAATAAATGAATAAGTGTTTAAAATGAAATAAAGTAATTATTCTGCCTATCACAAGGCTTGGTCTTGAACAATAAAGTTCTAATTTTAGATAGTTGGTTTTTTTTACACGGAACATTTCCGTTCTTGTCAGCTGAAAGTTGGCCTGTGTTTCTTTTCATCCGCGAGGCCCAGAAACCTATGTTATTCTTTTCCTCTTTCTTAGTTATTTGTGCTTAGCTGATGCAAATTCGGTTTTGGTTCTAGATTCTTCACAGTCAGATTTCTACCATTGAAAAACAGGCAACGACTGCTACTGGGTGCCCTCTGCTTATTCGCTGCAAGAACTTTCAGACACTGCAACTGGTGGTGCCACAGGAGAGAGACTGCCACGACGTGTACATCTCTCTAATACGCCTCGCAAGGCCAGGTAGGCCTGGGACCGGGCACTTAAAATGGACCCACTTTTTAAGTAATTTACACATCATGTTAAGAGTCTGTATAGTGCGTGAGGATAATGGTATTTTAGGTACTATATGTCGTCCTGTTTCTCAGATGAGGCCCAAAAATCCGAATGATCACCTCATACCTAGTTGATTTTTGGTTTTGGAGTCTCCCCTGACGAATTTACTATATGGGCCCCTTTGGTTAATCTTAGTATTCACTTTATCTTGGTTGGACTTGAAATGTGTTTTCTGTTCAGAATGAAACCTTAAAATTATGCCCTTCTGGGGACCAGCGAATGGGCATAATGGTTATGTCATTTGACTCACGTTGTTGACTGTGGTTTGAGTCCCGGACCTGGTGGCTTAAGACTCACTCTAGGCATGTGTGTGTGCATGCCCAAAATCCTAAGAGGAGAAGAGAGGGGAAGGGATTGTGTTGTGGTCATCTCCCCTGGTGGGTTATTTCTCGCTTCAAGTCCTGGACCTGACGGCTTGAAAATCACAAGAAAGAAATGGCTAAATAAATGAATAAGTGTTTAAAATGAAATAAAGTAATTATTCTGCCTATCACAAGGCTTGGTCTTGAACAATAAAGTTCTAATTTTAGATAGTTGGTTTTTTTTACACGGAACATTTCCGTTCTTGTCAGCTGAAAGTTGGCCTGTGTTTCTTTTCATCCGCGAGGCCCAGAAACCTATGTTATTCTTTTCCTCTTTCTTAGTTATTTGTGCTTAGCTGATGCAAATTCGGTTTTGGTTCTAGATTCTTCACAGTCAGATTTCTACCATTGAAAAACAGGCAACGACTGCTACTGGGTGCCCTCTGCTTATTCGCTGCAAGAACTTTCAGACACTGCAACTGGTGGTGCCACAGGAGAGAGACTGCCACGACGTGTACATCTCTCTAATACGCCTCGCAAGGCCAGGTAGGCCTGGGACCGGGCACTTAAAATGGACCCACTTTTTAAGTAATTTACACATCATGTTAAGAGTCTGTATAGTGCGTGAGGATAATGGTATTTTAGGTACTATATGTCGTCCTGTTTCTCAGATGAGGCCCAAAAATCCGAATGATCACCTCATACCTAGTTGATTTTTGGTTTTGGAGTCTCCCCTGACGAATTTACTATATGGGCCCCTTTGGTTAATCTTAGTATTCACTTTATCTTGGTTGGACTTGAAATGTGTTTTCTGTTCAGAATGAAACCTTAAAATTATGCCCTTCTGGGGACCAGCGAATGGGCATAATGGTTATGTCATTTGACTCACGTTGTTGACTGTGGTTTGAGTCCCGGACCTGGTGGCTTAAGACTCACTCTAGGCATGTGTGTGTGCATGCCCAAAATCCTAAGAGGAGAAGAGAGGGGAAGGGATTGTGTTGTGGTCATCTCCCCTGGTGGGTTATTTCTCGCTTTCTGTCTCTGTCTCTCTGGCGAGCATGTGCCCTATTAGGAAATTTTCTCAAAAGAAAAAAAATCATGCCTTTCTGATACTGTGATAATTGAGCCACTTTGAATGGATCCTAAGGCAGAACTGAAAAATTGTTTTGTTTGGGAAAATAGCATTAACAAAGAGTTCTACTGCCATTCTCTCCAACTCTGGCCTTTTAAGGTGTATTTCCATTGCTTTTTGATAGTAATATCTGAGGAGGTTTTCAAAGTGTTCATGGAAAATGTGTATTAAGAAAAAGCTATGTGTGGATTTCAAACGGTTTTTGCACCATAATAGACCAGTCCTTTAATCCCATTTATTCCACAGGAATTCCCCTCATATAACTTCCAAGGTTGATACTAGACATTTTGTTAGCGACAGTGAACATTCAGAATACGGATATAGCGATTCTCCTAGACAAGACCTCAAGCATGGTGGGAAGAATGTTTGAGTTTGAATAATGTGTTCTCTCGGTTACTGTCTTGTCTTGTCCCCCATCTCAAGAGCTTCAGATTTATAGCTTGTTATGCACTTCTCCAGACATGCTTCTCTCTCCATGTGGCTTGTGTGAGTTGTGATGTTCGTTTGCTTAAAAGAAATCTACTTCTAAGTGTCTGGGGAGAATACAATGAAAAGAAATCACTTACGCGAAAGTTAAATGTTACACAGAAGTCATGAATAAGGGAAGTAGAATATGTCCTTACAGTGACTTTGCCAAATCCTTTTTGATCCAGGACGAGAAGTTTGAGTACAGACTTTTCAAGGCATTTGATTGGGCCCTACATGTCTTAGGATATGACCGTACCATCTGAAGATAGCTAAGAGCGGAAGCTAGTTATTGGATGGAAATAATGCCAGGAAGCTATCAAAAGCTGATGACTTTGTTCTCCTGTGAAGGCAGTTGGTGGAGGCTTTTTCATCTGAGTGTCTTGAAAAGAACTACAGGATGAGCCAGAAAGTCCGTGGAACTTTCTGGAATGTGTTCTATAGTTGGAGCAGAAGTTCTGGGAAGACGTATGTTGGGTTGCCCACAGGAGAGGACGCGAAGAGCATTGTGCGCCAGAAGTTTCTGTGTCACTGATTAATGGGTGGAGTAGGTAGGAAATCTGCTCTGACTGGATTACTGGGATTTAGGAATAGCTCAGAAAACCGGGGAAAGAGCGGAGCAGCCGGAAGAGCAGATCGGGGAGTGGTGAGGGCGGTTGCCCTGCAGCAGCAAGCTCCAGGGTTCTCATTCTGGTGAGGACCACACGGAGGGAAACACTGTCTTCACTTTAGAGAGTATCGATACATGCTTTTTTCCTTTTTTTTTTTTTATGGGAGAGAGATTCTTGCTCCAAGGTGTATGTGCTTGACAGAGAGATAGAGAGAGATAGAGAGACAGAAAGCAAAAATTCAGCCCCCAGGGGGATGGCCATGCCACAGTCACTTCTCCATTCTCCCCATGGGATTTTGAGCACACATGCACATGCACCCGGCATTGCTTGAAGCCACCAGGTCCAGGACTCAAACTGGGGTCAGCCAAGTGGGAGTCCAGCAATGAGACCATTATGCCATCTGCTGATCCTGATACATATTTTTTCTTGAAAATATCAAGTTGTTTTGTTTTGTTTTGTTTAGGATTTTGCCATAGGACATGTGCACTTGCCAGAGAGAGGCAGAGAGAGACAGTGAGAGGAAAAGTGAGAAGTCACTTTTGACAGAGAGATAGAGAGACAGAAAGTGAAAATTTACCCCCCCCCAGGGGGATGGCCATGTCACAGTCCCTTCTGGAGTACTGAGTAGGTGGCTATGCTGCAGTCCCTTGTCCTTAATTTTTCTCTTGGGATTTTGAGCATGTGCACACATGCACCTCAAGTGAGGTTTAAGTCTCCTGCTCAGGGACTCGAACCGTGGTTCACCATGCCACCTGCTGACCCCTGAAAGATCACGTTTTAAGAATCAGGTATAGATTGTAGTCAGAGACCTGACTGGCTACCTTTTCCAAAAAAACAAATCATAGTCATTCATTGAATTAAAGCAATCACCTGAGAGGATTAAAAAGAATTGTCAGTATTTTTAAATATTGGCATTAGAAATGCTAGTTGGCTTTAAGCCTAATGCTCTAATAAGTGTGGGAAGGTGAACGAGAACCCGAGCAGTTGCACGGCTTCATGTTCATGGCGGCGCTAAGGCTGGGATGTCTTAGAGATAGCCTGGAACAGGGTTTCGAATGTGGGTGGAGGTGAGGAAAGGTGGAGGGGTCAGATCTGGACCTTTCGCCTGTGCACAGGAGTATGTGTGTTTTACAAAATACAACTTTACCTTCTCAGGATACAGTCAAGTAGGGCATAGTGCTGTTTGAGTCAGCAGTGGACCACGTATGTGACACGGGTCCCGCAGGAGCACACGGGCTTTCCCGCCTAGCCCAGGTATGTAGTAGGCTCTACCATCTCGGGTTGAGTAAGTTACCCTGTGACGTTCACACAGCGACAAAACCATCTCCCCATTATCGAGTGATGTAGGAGAGGACTTGGAAAAGCACGTGGAAAATGGAATTAAAGTATGAGTTCGTTTTAATGCAGAGAAATTTTGAAATCAGTGGATAGTTTTTTCACAGTACACATTTTCCATGTGTCTTTGGAGACTCTGTCATGTAGCTGTATATCAGAATAGATGTGGGCTTAGCCACAGTGGACCACGTGGGAGGGCGCCACTGGGCAATGGCTGAGGCTGTGTGGGAGGCCTGGGTTTGGTTCCTGGCCCAACCTAAAATGGCTAGGCACAGTGCTGTACGCCCATGGTCCTAGCTAACTGGTGAGACCCCATCAAAAATCTAACACTTTGGGCTGGCAGGTGGCATGGTGGTTAAGGGTGCTAGACTCCCACATGGCCAACCATGGTTCGAGTCCTAGACCTGGTGGCTTGCTTTCTCACTTTCTCTCTTACTCTCTCACTCTGTCCCTCTCTGATCAAATTAAAATAAATAAAAAAGTAAAGTTAAATAAATAAATGAAGTTAAAAAAAAAATCTAACACTTTTCTCTGTCTCCCTCCCTCCTGCGTGAGTACATGTTCTCTCTCTCAACTTGTGTTATTAACAATCATGATCAAAGGAAAGGAGGGGGCAGATAGCACAGCGGCAGGATCTGGTGCTCCCCAGGGCAGACCCACGTGGGGAGGTCACTTCTGAGTTGTGCCTGGTGACCTCTGTGGGTACACTGGGGGCACGTGGGCCCATGATCGGGGCTGGCTCAGGCTGGGGGGGTTTGCAGTGTTGGGACCTTGCTGGAGTTTCTATGTCTCTGTTTCTCTCTCACTCATGGAATAAATAAACTTCTTTTAAAAAAGAGTAAGGGTGTGTGTGTGTTTGTGGTCACCGCGGGAGGTGTCCTTTGCTTTCTAGAAGTACAGTCGAGGTCTCCGGCAGTTACGGTGAGACACCAACGTGAATCACGTATTTTCAGCTCCCCTTTATGGGCAGAGCGAACTGCAAGGTCCTAGAGAGGACGTGTTTATTTATTTATTTGATGTCTTTATTGTTTATTTATTTATTTTCTTTTTTAACATGTAGTG